AAAAAAAAAAAAAAAAAAAAAAAAAAAAAAAAAAAAAAAAAAAAAAAAACAAAACAAAAAGAAAAAAACAATTGGGGACTTGGCCAAGCCCCTGGAACTTTAGGGACAGGGGTCTCAAAGTCCTAGCTCCCACCTGATATGATCAGGATCCGAGCTGGGCAGCAGCCGCTTTGCGTCCAGAACTTTGCTCTCTCCTCTTGGTATTAAACTCTTTGGCTCACGAAGCATTTTTACATCCTCCTCTCATTTCACGTGTGTCTCAGATTGGGGAGTGGGCCCCAGCGTTCTCATTGCACAAGGGAGGAAGCTGGGGCTCAGAGATGGAATTGTATCATCCAAGGCCCCAGGGCTGGGAGGATGGCTTATGGATACACAGCTTCCCAGCTTTTGTCCTGAGCTGTTTGGTTCACGGAGCATTTTTACATCCCCATCTCATTTCATGTCTGTTTTTGTTTTTGAGAGGGGAGAGGGTGCAACGTCCTCATTTTTACAAAGGAGCTGTGGCTCAGGGGCGGCCCCAGGGCTAGAAAGATGGTTTACGGCGTGGGCAGAGATGGGTGAGCTGAGTTGGTGGTTTTTATTCTTGACAATAACCAGCACATGTGGCTGGGTGCGATGGTTCACGCCTGTAATCCCAGCACTTTCGGAGGCTGAGGCGGGCGGATCACGTGAGGCCAGAAGTTTGAGACCAGCGTGGCCAAAATGCTGAAACCCTGTCACTACTAAAACTACAAAAATTAGCCGGGTGCAGTGGCCGGCACCTGTAATCCCAGCTACTGAAGAGGCTGAAGCATGAGAATTGCTTGAACCTGGGAGGGGGAGGCTGCAGTGAGCCGAGATCACACCAAGGCAGTCCAGCCTGGGTGACAGAGAAAGAAAAAAAGTTAGAAACCAGCACATGTGATATAATTCTGTCATCACAAAATCACACAGTGCATGTTATGAAAAAGAAAAAGAAGGCCAGATGCAGTGGCTCACGCCTGTAATCCCAGCACTTTGGGAGGCCAAGGCGGGCAGATCATGAGATCAGGAGTTCGAGACCAGCCTGGCCAACATGGTGAAACCCCATCTTTACTAAAAATACAAAATTTAGCCGGGCGTGGTGGCACTTGCCTGTAGTCCCAGCTACTCGGGAGGCTGAGTCAGGAGAATCACTTGAACTCAGGAGGCGGAGGTTGCGGTGAGTCGAGGTCTCGACACTGCACTCCAGCCTGGTCAACAGAGCAAGACTCCATCTCAACCACCTCCCCCCACCCTACAAAAAAAGAAAAGAGCGCCGACCTACTCTGCCCTCTCTGACCCCTAAACAGAGGTGAATGGCAGATGCCTTACAAGGTGTCCCTGTAAAAGATCTCAAGGCTTTGGGGAGAGCGCCAGATGCAGGCCTGGAGGTAAACTTCCTTGTTTTCCTCTGCCTCAGGGCTCTGGGAGCCAGAGCAGAGTGGCGAGAAGCATCTTGCCTTTGCTGGTGTTTTTCCTGCGGCAGGTGGGTGGGACTCAGCCAGCCTCTCTTGGCATCAGCGAGGAGGCATCAACAAATCTCTCTCCAGCTCCAGTGCTGAGCTACTGGCTGATCCCCAAGGACATCCTTCTGGCCTGCCCTTCACACCTGGGTCCCCTAGCCCCCCCCTTCCCCTGTGAGCTCTGAGCCTCTTCCCCTGCCCTATGTTTGCCTGGGGCCCCTCCTGCACCTGCCCTTCCCCAAACTCCCAGCCCCTCCCTGCTCTCTGCTCTGGATATTCGTGGCTGCGGCTGGCAGGAAGGACAGCTTCTTAGTCACTTCTGTAGGACCACAGGTGGACTGTTATAGGGCTTGCCTGCTCCCCCCCCCGCCCCCACCAACGGCTGCTTCTCCAAATACCGGTTGGCTGTGTTCCAGGAAAGCAAGGGCAGGAAGTGGGGCGGGCGGCGGGTTCTGGCCATCTGGCCAAGTCACGTGTCTACTCAGAAAGCTTGCTAAAGGCTACCTGGCTGGGACCACAGGTAAGAGGCACTGGGGAAGGAGACACCCATGCTGGAGTGCCCACCGGTCCTGGGCAAGCCCCTGGCCCTCTCTGGGCTTCAGTTCACTCCTTTGAGCCAAGACAGTAAAAGTCCCTGCCCTGTTGACTGGCAGGAGGCTGTGATGAGGTCATCGCGGGGAAAGCCATGATCGACAATCATGATGGGGTGCGGGGAGAGGGAAAGCCTTGTAAAGAAAGCCCCAGGGAGGCGTGGTCCGGCAGAAACCATCCCTGTTTGCTTTGGTGTGCGCCTATGATGGAGGTGAAGGTGTGGCAGTGTGATTGGAAACTGGAGAATCCCTCCTTCTTTCCATCAAGCATTTCTTTTTTCTTTTTGGAGACAGGGTCTAGCTCCGTTGCCCAAGGCTGGAGTGTAATGATGCGGTTATAGCTCACTGCAGCCTCCAACTTCGGGCCTCAAGCAGTCCTCTCACCCTGGCCTCCCCAAGTGCTGGGATTACAGGCATGAACACCCCGAACGTTTCTTGGGCGTCTGTGATGTATGAAGCCTGGTGCTGGGCGCGGAGGTTGCAGAAGGCATTGTTCTTGTCTTCCAGGAGCACTAGCCTAGCAGGGGAGATAGATGTGTCCAGACTCGACCACAACGCCAGGCCTCGGCTTCCCCTCTGTAACATGGGCGGCTCATGCCAGGCTGTCCCAGGCTGCCCGCTGCTCCGTTACCGGTCAACAGACCTATCTCGGATACCTCCCATGTGTATTCACTAATCGCTTCAACCCGAACCACGGCACCCTTGGTTACTTTCCCTCAAGGACTAGGCAGCCGTCTAAGTCAGAGCTGGGCACGCGGCCACCAGTGCTGATGGCAGCTCAGGGACACACTGGAGCCGTGGCCCCTGCAGCGCTCCCAGCACGGTGGGGGAACAGATACAAAATGACAACATGGGCGATGAGGAGAGGCTCCCTCGGTGTGGCTGGGATGAGCCCCACACACTCTCGATCACTCCCACGGTGACCCCTTCCCGGAGGTCCCCTCAGTGGTCTGCCTTGAAGGAAGCTATTCCTGATCCAGACCCTCCGCCCTTCCTCTATCTCCCAGGGCTCGTGCCATTCCAGGCAGACATTTCTGACCCTTTTACTCTGGCCCCTCCCTCCCCAGCCCAATCTCTGGTTAAACTGGATTCCTCGCTGTTCCCAGAACGAGCTGCCTTTCCCCACCTTGCCACCTCTGCCCTTGTTTCCTCTGTCCGAATATCCTCCCTCACCAGTCTCGCTGCCTGGCACATCTCTCCTGGGGGCTCTGTTCCCAGAACGAGCTGCCTGTGTCCACCTGGCCCATGCTTGGTCTTTGTCCTCTCCACCAGAATGTCCTCCCTTAGCCAGTCCTGTTGCCTTGCATAACTTTTCTTTTTCTTTCTTGTTTTTTTTTTTTGAGACGGAGCCTCACTCGGTCGCCCAGGCTGGAGTGCCATGGCGAGATCTTGGCTCACTGCAACCTCCGCCTCCCGGGTTTAAGCAATTCTCCTCCCTCGGCCTCCTGAGTAGCTGGGATTACAGGTGCACACCACCAGGCCTGGCTAATTTTTTTTTTTTTTTTGTATGTTTAGTAGAGATGGGGTTTCACCATATTGGTCAGGATAGTCTTGAACTCCTGACCTCATGATCCACCCACCTCAGCCTCCCAAAGTGCTGGGATTACACTGCACCTGGCTGCCTTGCAGAATTTTTCTGGGGGACCTGTTCCTGATGCCTCCTGTAGCATAATCCAGGAATCCAGCACCCCCTGGAGTTGTGCCACGCAGCACCCCTTTGCAGTCAAGGTCCCCCAGCACCACCGCCTCCGCCCCGGAAGAGTTCCCCTTCCCTTTGCAGTCTCCTGGGACTTTGCACCCACTCTGGCTTTATCAGAAGATTTTGTGTCTCCACAGGGTAAACACCCATTTACGGGGCTGACGATGGCTCCAGGATCTAGTTCATGGCTTGCTGGTGACCCGCCCCGCCCAGTTCTGGGCAAGCAGGCTGGACCCCTGCAGGAACAGAGCCCACCAGCCTGAACTTCTTCGGAGGTGGAGAGGGGACAGGCGCCTGTCTCTTTTTGGCTGAAGGTGTATCGTGTCCAAGGCCCCACTTCTAGCCAAGCAGAAAAGCCGTGTGATAAAGATGGGTGAGAGTGAGTGATGAACCCAGGGGTCCCGGCCTCCCGGCTCCTCACTCCTCTGCATGTAACTTTATCTGACCAATGCCGAGAACATTGCTGGTGAGGTCAGATACACTAATGATCAGAATCACAACAGTAATGAAACTGCCAGTGATGAAACTGATAAGATAAGACAATAATCAGGGTGGGGTTTCTCGTGTCATTTCCAAGACTTCATCCTCAAATACTCTCCCTGAGGGTCCCCACCCTGTCCTCCCACCTAAGCCTGGAATGAGGAAGCACTGGCCTGTGGGGACCCCGGTCTTCAGGCTCCCAAGCCTGGCTGGGTCTGGCTGCCCCTGACCTGGCCCTGTGAACACCCAGGTGTCCCTGGGTTATGACTCAGTGTCTGTCTGCTGGCTGATCTCAACACGGGCTTTGAGGAAGGGGAGAGGGTAGTTTCTGAGACAGGATAGTGACTCAGGGGCCCAGGGTTGGGGCCTCAAAAGTGCCTTTGTTGGCCAGGGTTCAGGAATCCAGAGAAACTGGTCAAGGGGAGGCCCCAGTGAGGAAAACCCCTCCCTCTGCCCCCGCCCCTCCACCAGAGCCATATAACTGCTCAACCCGTCCGGGAGAGAGAGCGCACTGGCAGCTGTTGGCAGGAAGGAACTGGTCTGCTCACACCTGCTGGGTTGTGCATCAGGACTCTCGGAGCAAAGGAGCTCTCTGCGAAGGTCAAGGCCGTCCCCAGCGCTTGGAATCCTACAGTCCCCACAGCCGGATCCCTGCAGACTTCCAGGTCCTCGACCTCCGCGCACGCTGAGCGATGGCCTCCATGGGGCTGCAGGTGGCGGGCATCGCGCTGGCCGTGCTGGGCTGGCTGGCTGCCATGCTGTGCTGCGCGCTGCCCATGTGGCGCGTGACGGCCTTCATCGGCAGCAGCATCGTCACGTCGCAGACCATCTGGGAGGGCCTGTGGATGAACTGCGTGGTGCAGAGCACCGGCCAGATGCAGTGCAAGGTGTACGACTCGCTGCTGGCGCTGCCGCAGGACCTGCAGGCGGCCCGCGCCCTGGTCATCATCTGCATCATCGTGGCCGCGCTGGGCGTGCTGCTGTCCGTGGTGGGCGGCAAGTGCACCAACTGCCTGGAGGACGAGAGCGCCAAGGCCAAGACCATGATCGTGGCGGGCGTGGTGTTCCTGCTGGCCGGCCTGCTGGTGATAGTGCCCACGTCCTGGACGGCCCACAACATCATCCAAGACTTCTACAACCCTCTGGTGGCCTCCGGGCAGAAGCGGGAGATGGGCGCCTCCCTCTACATCGGCTGGGCCGCCTCGGGCCTCCTGCTGCTTGGCGGGGGGCTGCTCTGCTGTAACTGCCCACCCCGCACAGACAAGCCTTACTCCGCCAAGTATTCTGCCGCCCGCTCTGCCGCCACCAGCAACTACGTGTAAGGTGCCACGGCTCCGCTCTGTCCCTCTTGCCTTTGTTCTTCCCTGGACTGAGCTCAGCGCAGGCTGTGACCCCAGGAGGGCCCTGCCGTGGGCCACTGGCTGCTGGGGGCTGGGGACTGGGCAAACAGAGACTGAGCTAGGTAGGAGGGCAGCAGCCTTCAACCTCTCCGGCCCACTCGGACACCTTCCCAAGGCCACCTCCTGCTAACAAAGACAGATGCCACCCTGCTCCGTATATTGCGGAGGGACGGAGGTGACAGGGTGTGGTGGTAGAATGGGGAGCTGGCTCCTGCTGGCCACTTTGGGCTTCGCCCGCATCGGCGTTGGCCACTGTCCTCATTGACAGCTTCCCCACCCTGTCTGCCTGCATCTCCCGACACTCCAGCTCTCTCCCTGGTGTCTCCTCTGTTCCGGGGCAGGCCTTGATGTCACCTCTGAGACTGTGGCTTGCTCACCCAAACCCGCACCCAGGAGTACGGCTGAGGCCTCGCCACCCACCTGCCTGGGCAGTGCAGAGTGGATGGACGGGTTTGGAGGGGAGCGGTGAAGGCAATGTAAACAGGTTTGGGCAGTGGTGGGGGAGGGGGCCCAGCTCTGCGGCCTCAGGACTCTGCTTCACCCGCTTCAGCCCAGGGCCCCTGGGCCTCTAGAGACTCCCCTCTGAGTCCTCTGCCCTGCCAAGGACACTAACCAGCCTGGGAGGGTGGCAGGGAGGAGGGGACGGCTTTACCCTCAGAAGTCCCAGGGTTTTTCCTCCACCTTCTTTGTCTTTTCTGTTTTGTAATTTAAGAAGATCTATTCACCACTGTAATTATTATTATTTTCTACAATAAACGGGACCTGTGCACAGGAATAAGTTGTATTGTCTCCGATTTCTGCTGTGGAGGTGGGTGGGGCAGGGCTGGAGGCCTGGGCAGGGGGTTGGTGAGGAGCAGGACCACTGGGCTGTGGCCGGGACATGAGCACTTAAAAAAAAAAAAAACGAGATTCAGGGAATGGTGAGAAATGGAAGCTGGGCCGGGCGCGGTGGTGTGCACCTGTGATCCCAGCACTTTAAAAGGTGGAGGTGGGAGGATCGCTTGAGGCGAGAGTCTGAGACCAGCCTGGGCAACACAGTGGCCCCATCCCTACAAAAAGTTAAAAACATGAGCTGGGCGTGGTGCCTGTAATCCCTGTACTTGGGAGGTCGAGGTAGGAGGTTTGCTTGAGCCCAGGAGTTTGAGGCTGCAGTGAGCGTTGATGACACCACTGCACTCCAGCCTGAGTGACAAGATGGAGAACTTACGTCTTAAAGAAAAAATATCAAAATGGGTCTCCAAGGTATCAACTTAAGAAAAAAATTGAAAACAAAAAAAGAAAAAAAGAAGAAAGAAAAGAAAGAAAGAAATTGAAATGGGCCTCCACAGTATCACCTAAAATAAAAAAAAAACAAAAACGATGAAATGGGCCCCCAAGCTATCACCTAAAAAAAAATTGAGGCCAGGTGCGGTGGCTCACGCCTGTAATCCTAGCACTTTGGGAGGCTGAGGCAAGTGGATCTCAAGGTCAGGAAATTGAGACCAGCCAGACCAACATGGTGAAACCCCATCTCTACTAAAAATACAAAATTTAGCTGGGCGTGGTGGCGGGCGCCTGTAGTCCCAGCTCACCCAAGGCTGAGACAGGAGAATCGCTTGAACCCGGGAGGCTGCCGTGAGTCGAGATCATGATACTGCACTCCAGCCTGGGGGACAGAGCAAGACAGGGTCTCAAAAAAAAACAAAAAAACAAAAAAACAACATTGAAATGGGCCCCCAAGGCATCACCTTGTCCAGGTGGGGGGCCCTTCTTTGGTTGGAGGGTAAACTCATATATAGGAAACAGTGTATGCCTGGAACCCCAGTGAAGGTTTGGGTACCCCAGAAGGGAAGCCACATGGGCTCCCAGCTCCGAGGTATGGGCCACCTGCCGCCCCACCCCGCTGTTGTTCCAGCTTTGTCTGGGAAGCCAGGCTGGTCTGTTCCTCTTTGCTGGGTCACCCGACAGGTCCCACTTCCCAGCCTTTGCACAGGCTGTCCCTGCACCTGGAATGTCCCTTTTCCCTTCTCCACCCTTCTGGATCCTGCTTCTCCTGAAAGCCCAGCTCAGAGCCTCCTTCCCCATGAAGTCTTCCTACTGTGTCTAATGGAGAAATTATCATCAGCCCTGTTGACACCCCCCGAGGTGCTGCTGGTCACCAAATGCCTTTCACCTGAAGGGCAGCCTCCAAGCCACACCCAGAGCTTGGCATTCCGATCCCTTGATGGATGAGGAAATGGAGTGTGGCCCAGCCCCAGACCTGCAGCTTGGGACTTTGGGCTCTGAATTTGGGTGGGGGAGCGTCCAGGACAGGGCTTGGGTCTCAGCAACCTCTTGGACTTGGCCTCGGCCTTGGGTCCCTGCTCTGACACTGTTGCGCATGTTCCAAGGTGGCTCAGGCTTCATTTTCTTGTCAATAAGTTAGAGGTGAACGGGCCCAGTACCCTGGAAGGAGCGACCCAATACCTGGCTCAGGGAGGGCTCGGGAGGGCTCATGGGCTCTCTGTCACTTCTTTTTTTCTCTGTCACTTTTTTTTTTTTTTAGAGAGTTTTTGCTCTGCCATTCAGGCCAGAGTGCAGTGGCACGATCTTGGCTCGCTGCAACCTCCGCCCCCCAGGTTCAAGCGATTCTTCTGCCTCAGCCTTCCGAGTAGCTGGGATTACAGGCATCCGCCACCATGCCTGGCTAATTTTTGTATTTTTAGTAGAGATGGGGTTTCATCATGTTGGTAAGGCTGGTCTCAAACTCCTGACCTTGTCATCTCCCCTCCTCGTCCTCCCAAAGTCCTGGGATTACAGGCGCGAGCCACTGAGCCAGGCCTCTTTTCTTTTTTTACAGTCAGGGTCTTGTCCCCAGGCTGGAGTGCAGTGGCATGATCAAAGCTCACCGTAACCACTTCCATGACCTCCAGGCTCAAGCAATCCTCCCGCCTCAGCCTCCTGAGTAGCTGGGACTACAGGCATGCACCCATGGCACCTGGCCAATTTTTACAATTTCTTTTTTTTTTTTTTTGAGAGTCCTGCTCTGTCACCCAGTGGCATGAACTCAGCTCACTGCAACCTCCACCCCCACTGGGTTCAAGCAATTCTCCTGTAAGTCTCCCCGTAAAGCTGGAATTACAGGCATGTGCTACCATGCCCAACTAATTTTTGTGTTTTTAGTAGAAACAGTGTTTTACCATGTTGGCCAGGCTGGTCTTGAACTCTTGACCTCAAGTGATCCTCCCGCCTCGGCCTCCCAAAGTGCTAATTTTTATAATTTTTCTTTGAGATGGGGGGGGTCTCACTATGTTGCCCAGCCTGGTCTCGAACTCCTGATCTCAAGTAATCCTCCTGCGTTGGCCTCCCAAAGTGTTGGGATTACAGGCTTCAGCCACCACAACCTGCCATTTCTTGACTCTGGAACCCACAGGAACTGATGTCACTCTTTTTTTTTTTTTGAGATGGAGTTTTGCTCTTGTTGCCCAGGCTGGAGTGCAATGGTGTGATCTCGGTTCACTGCAACCTCTACTTCCCGGGTTCAAGAAATCCTCCTGCCTCAGCCTCCTGAGTAGCTGGGATTACAGGCATGCGCCACTACCATGCCAGGCTGATTTTGTATTTTTTAAAGTAGGGACGGGGTTTCTCCATGTTGGTCAGGCTGGTCTGGAACTTCCGACCTCAGGTGATCCGCCCGCCTTGGCCTCCCAAAATGCTGAGATTACAGGTGTGAGCCACCGCGCCCTGCCTGATGTCACTGTTTTCTGGGGCTAGAGAACTGCAGAGCTGTGAGTCCTTTTGCCCCTTCTGGGAGCTCATTTAATAGGCAGGGCATTTCTGAGGGGCAGGGTTGGTTTGGCGGTCCCATTTTACAAGGGAGGCAGAGGAGGCCCAGCAGAAGGGCCCAGCTAAGGCCACATAGAATCAGGGGACAGCTGGGGGCTAGGGGCTGGATCTCACTTCCTCAGCCTGGGTTGCCTTCTGCTTTCGGTACAGGTAGACGATGCTGGAGATGAAGCCATCCTTGGCAGAGGTGCCAGGTACCACCTCCAGCTCGGAGGTAGCCAGCTCCCAGCGGTCCACAGGCAGGGCCACCAGGTGCTCCCACGCCCCAGCCTGCTCCAAGCTGTCCAAGGTGGCCTCCAGAGCCTCCTTGTATTGAAGATTAGACGAGTTGGTTCTGGTGGTCAGACACACCAGCCCACCTGGGGGAGAGGGGCAGGTGAGGTGGGGGAGGGGCAGGAGCCACAGTCCCGGGCCATCTCTGCTGGTGAGGGTTGTCCCTTCAAGGTAAGAAATTCTTCCAGCTTCCTTCCCAGGGCAGTCTTTCTGTGTCTTTTACATCAGGAATTCCTTTTTTTTTTCTTTTTCTTTTTTTTTTTTTTGAGACCAAGTCTTGCTCTGTCACCCAGGCTGGAGTGCAGTGGCACGCTCTCAGCTCACTGCAACCTCTGCCTCCCAGGTTCAAGCAATTTTCCTGCCTCAGCCTCCCGAGCAGCTGGGATTACAGGCACGCACCATCATGCGTGGCTATTTTGTATTTCTAGTAGAGATGGAGTTTTGCCACGTTGGCCAGGCTGGTCTTGAACTCCTGGCCTCAGGTGATCTGTCTGCCTCAGCCTCCCAAAGTGCTTGGATTACAGGCATGAGCCACCATGCCCAGCCCTTTTTTTTTTCTTTCTTGAGAGAGGATCTCACCCTATTTCCCAGGCTGGAGTGTGGTGGCATAACCATAGCTCACTGTAGCCTTCAACTCCTGGGCTCAAGCACTCCTCCCACCTCAGCCTCCTGAGTAGCTGGGACCACAGGTGCTCACCACCATGCCTGGCTAATTAAAAAAATTTTTTTTGTAGAGATGGGGTCTTGCTATGTTGCCCAGGCTGCTCTTGAACTCCTGGGCTCAAGTGATCCTCCTGCCTTGGCCTCCCAAAGTGCTGGGATTATAGGTGTGTACTACCGTGCCTGGCAGGGAATTCTTAACTTCATCTCCTGGACTGAGAAGACACCCTCCTCTCCACTCACCCACGCCTCTGCCGTAGGACCTGACTGTCTGAATGGACAGGAAGAAAGCCCCCACGTGTGCTTTGCATCTTGGGCTAGCCCCTTCACCTCTCTGGGCCTCAGTTTCCCACCTGGCAGGGAGAGGATGACTACCTTATATCACAGGAAGGCTGGTGTGTGGTAAAGTGGCCTACAGTAAGTGCTGGCTAAATGGCCTTGTCACCTCAGGTCCAGGCACCTATAGTGTGCCCAGGGTGGCCTCAGGTACACTGAGAAAGAGAGATGGGGAAGACCCAATGACTGGTCTGGGAAGGCTTCCTGGAGGAGGGAGTAAGGAGAAGCAGGGCGCTGCTGGTAGAAGGGAGCACGGTGAGAGGAGAGGCTCTGGAGCAGGGGAGACTGTCCCCCATGGGCAGGCAACGGGGCTTGGCCGGCTGAAGGGCTTAGCAGGCACACGTTGGGCTAGGAAGTCTGGTCCTGGCTGCTTCACGCAGTACAAAGTTCCTGTCTTCCTGGGCCCAACTTTGACCTTTCCAGCTGACCCCATCCGTGTCCCTGCATTTGTCAGCCTTCAAGACTCCCCGGAGGCCGATGCCTGCCCAGACCTGCCCAGGCTTAGCCACAGCCTCTGCTGGGCCTGGCAGGGGGCGCAGAGAGGGGAGGGAGAGGAAGCGTTTTCACCTCTCCGATTTCCTGTTCTGCAGCCAGCCAGCGCCTCCTGGTTCTCACGCTCAGCCCCTCTCCTTTCTGTCTTAGGCTGGGCGCGACGTGGATTCCTCACCTGGTCTCTGAAATGCCTCTCTAAATTCTTGGAGTAGG